CACTGGTTAAGCCTCAGAATTGTGCTCACGGCAAGTTATATTTGTAAAGAACAAGTTGAAAGAGTGATGGAGGCAGATTCAACTGCAAATTTCAAACAGAAGTTGGACAGATTCTTGAAAAAGAAATAGAAACTGCAGGGCTACCAGGATTGGGGCTAATTGGAAAGGTTTTCCAAGTGTTGAAACAGGTGTGATAAGTTGAATAGCCTCCTTCTGTGCTGCATGATTCTGTGGAGTCGATAAATAAAATGACCAAGACACGAAAATAAGTTCTGCAGCTTTCTACAGCATTAGACACAGCACGCATTTAAGATCCTGACAATTTATGATCAAACAGTTACTATTTGTATTGCCAAATAAATACAGGTCAACTTGACATGTAGCTACTGTGACAGATATTACAAAACACTGCTTCCAGGAGATCATAGCTAAAGAAATAGATTTTGTTTGTGTACTACCTTTCACAATCTCAAGATGGCTCAGAAATAAATACTGTTTTAAAATATGAGGTCTCCCTTCTAGGACAGAGGTGGGAGAAATTTTCTCTCTCAGCAGGTTCAGACTAGAACTCTAACACAGAAAGCAATGGAGGCAGGGTCCTTTTAAGTGGGAGGGGAGTAGATTTTTTTGTTACATAAGGGAATCAAAGGTTCAGTAATAGGTGGGATTGCAGAATCCAAAACACACACACACCAGGCATGGTCTTACTGAATGATTCAACCCCTTGTATATGCTGTATGGCCTACTTATACTCCTATTTTGTACATATGCATGTATATATTCAACAAGACATCAAAAGAACAATGGAATTTTCACATTGAACTAAAAAGGTAGACAGGGTTTTGGTTTAATATTGAAGATGGTAGCACAGCAGCAGTGCAGCGTGAGGGTTCCTACCGGAGTTCATCTGCTCCATTCGCTTTTAATTTTTTTTTCTTTCACCATGTTTTTTTTTCTCACGTTAAACTTCTTGCCTTCTGTGGAGAGTGAGTTTGTGCAATGCAAAGGAGATCAGCGCAGAGGACAGTGAGCTCAGCGCAGTGGAGTCCAGTCATCATGGGGCAAGTGAGCCCAACATGGCGAAGAGTGAGGTCCCCCGGCATCTGTAGCCATGGCGAAGAGCAGGCAGCCCTAGGCGGCTGCGGCAGGAGCAGGCAGCACGTGGCAGGAGCAGATTGAGTACCGCCCGGTCTGGATGCGAGGCCCGGCACAGTCTGCCTAAAGGACTGTAATGCTGAACTTTTCATTTCTTTATTTTTCTAATTTATTCCTACGATCCTGTATCTAGGTACCTTTGTACCTAAGATGCTGCCAAGTGGAGACTTGGTAAACTTTTCACTGCACTTATTGGAGTACATGTGACAAAAAACCTCATTCTACTTCCAATCTGGCAAGCAGCCCTTAGGGCATTGCAAACCCCTAATACTACACTGAAGAGTCAGCCTACGCTATGTTCAAACCTTTGAAGTGGGCTGACTCCACAGATCTGTAACAGAAAACAAACTGTCACCATTTAGCCTTGAATAACACTAAAGCATAGCTTTTTAGTTCTCTAGAAACTTTGAATTTTTTTTTACACTTATTATTTCTACAGTCCCTTCAGCTTCACATATAGACTTAGAAATAAACTAAGGGCCTGTTTCCACACTGTAGGGATTCTAATACAAATACTAATACTCTCACGTAGCCAGTTACAATTCCAGCTAATGTTATTACTGGACGAAATCAGATCTCAGTCTGATAAATCATACTGATTAATTAAAATTTTTAAGGTCTTTCACCAATACAAACAGACATTGGTGCAGATTCAAGTTTAACAATGAATAGAACTTTATTATGCAAAAGGAATGAAGATAAAATAGAAGAAATCAAACTACTTATAGATAACACAAGTTTAAAGATTTCAAAACACAATAAATTACAACCCCATTAATCTTAAAAGTAGTTCTTTACAGTACTCATACCAGAGAAAATTCCCTGGTCTCTCATCTTTTAGGGCCTAATTTTACTGTGGCTTCAATGCCCCACCTGGAGAATACCATGATTTATTCATGGCACCTTCACACAACTAAGCTTAGATTTTCTCAGCTTCAAGAAGCTTCAAACACTTCTGGTCTAGACTTTTTAAACTAAAGTCCTCACATTGAGGTAACAAAATCTTAACAGTCCTAAACTATCTCAATTTATCAGCAACTGTTTTACACATCCAGCTTCAGCCAAGACGTTTGTAAAACTGCACTAAAATGAATGAAAAAGTCTTTTTTCCAAAGTTATGGGTATTTACTCCAAGCCCAAAAAATTCAGAATCTTCTATATGAGAACCCAGTGCACTAGACTGTTTACATGTAAGCTTTCCCAATGTAATCAAAACCCCTTTATTCTCGGAAAAGCCTCTCTCTAATAATGTATTTTAAAAGAAATCACCGTGGCTACGCAAATACTTACAAGTTAATCAATAATCCCCAGAGGCACAGACTAAAATCCACAAACCACTGGCTAAAATATAAACTCTAAATGATATTAAAATATATATAAATCACACATCTTACATCAAAATCCTTACTTTTTATCATGCTACAAAAATCATTATCTGCAAGTCGTTGGCTGAGGACAATGAGTCACAATCAACATCAAGTGGAAAAGTGCTCAAGAAGTGACCAAAGAAATTACACATGTAATATGTTTGACAAATCAAACTGAATTTCTTGAAGTGACCAAGTGGGTTGGGGAGACAAGTAAACGTAGTGCACGTGGAATTTCAAGGGGATCCCATAAAACATTTCAGAAGACTTGTACAAAATGTTCAGGTGTATATATGGTATATCAGGGAATATCAAAAGAACAAGAGGTTTGTTGAAGTGAAAAAAAAATTAGATTAACAGAGGCTGCTCAGATTGGAAGTCCCAGATTTCAGAGATCAACACTGCAATTATTTTTCTTTGCACACAAATTGTTTAGATTGGAATATTGGGAGAAGAATATCAACTTTTAATGATAACATGATACAGAAAGGCAAACAATAAAGTAGATTGTAAAATATTTCAAGGATGCAACAAACAAAGACTACTGATAAAATTTAATATGGAGAACTGTGTGCAATAATTATTATAAATATATTTTGTTTTCCTCAATACAAGGATTATTAATTGTCAAATACCATCACTGGAGTTAATACCTCAGAATTTCAGTAACTAAAATGGTTTTAAACTAGGGGGGAAAAAAAAGACATAAAATGGTCACCAGCAATCAACTGACCAGAAGTTGGCCAAGTCACAAATGACTTACAGGGCTGGTTAGCTCAGTTGGCTAGATGGCTGGTTTGCAACATAGAGTGATACCAACAGTGTAGGCTCAATTCCTGCATTGGCTGAGAAAACCATGAAGATCCCACTTCATCTACCTTGAGATGTGACGATCCCCAAGTTAAGCTACCACCAGTCATCTCTCTGTAATGCAACAGTGGGACAATAGTGACTTTACCTTCTACCGCTGGACTATGTGGCCCAGGTTCAAGTCCCACCTCCTCCATAAGGTAGCAAGAGTCGTTCTAAGGTAGTGATGGCTCATGGATAGGACTGCTGCTCACAGCACCAGGGTTCAGTTCCAGCTTTGGGTGGATGACTGTGTGGAGTTTGCCACTTCTCCCCATGTCTGCATGGGTTTCCACCAGGTGCCCCATTTTCCTCCCACAGAACAAAGGTGGCCAGATTATCTGGCCACGTGTCCGTTGTGTTCAGGGATGTGTAGGTTAGGTGAATTAGCCATGATAAATGTGGGATTACAGGATATGGTAGGGGTGTGAGTCTTGGTGGGACTTCTTCAGAGGCTCAATGGAATGAATGGCCCCCCTTTCACATTGTAAGGATTTCATGATTCTAAGCACTAAAAGATTAGCCAATGGCTGAGAAAAATTAGTGAAGAAAGCCTATCAATTCAAAAGTTAGAAGTAAATAAACTGAAGTTTGAGGTACTTCTTTATACAGATTTGTTGGAAGTATGAAATACTCCGTCACAGGAAGCAGGTAGAGATCATTCCATTTTTGAGGTGAAAAGTAAATACTTAAATCAGAAGTACAGTAAGGACTAAAATAAAGAACTGCAGATGCTAGAAATCTGAAACAAAAACAGAAATTGCTGAAGAAACTCAGCAAGTCTGGCAGCATCTGTGGAGAGCGAGCAGAGTTAGTGTTTCCAGTCCAGGAATGCTTCTTCAGAATGCACATTGTTCATTTTGACCTTTTTGTTACCGTTGTACAAAAAAAGTGTACTTAAAACAGAAAAAGTGATGCACTACAGATAGATTTATCTAAATTTGTGTGGTATAAAGATAATAATTACTGTGAAGTTTGTCTAAATATACAATTAGCCTAATAATGATAGATCATTGATCAAGACATTATAGTTAGATTTGTTGGAAAGGTGGAGGTGATTGCTCACTTCTCAGAATCAAAGAGCCAGTATTCCTATTGTGGTGTGTAATGTTGATCACACCAACAATTGTTGGATCTGGACTAGCTGATAAGCCAAGAAAATGTAACCACAACAAAATCTTAATTTTAAATGTGTATTTTGAGGTCAAGTTACATGGACGTTTAAATTTTTTTTTAAGAGAATGTGTCACACCCTTTTCATTGACAACAGTCAGTTACTGCAAAATAGTTACATAAAAAGATAAACACACAAATTCACCTCATAATACAGGTTGCTCTGTTTTGTCGTTGGAATTAATGGTGACTCCGTAAAAAAAACACTTTAAAAGCTATTACCGAATAACACAACCCAAACACTGAAGCGTGTACAAGGAGGAAGGCCCTCCCACTTCCCCAAAGGGAAAGTCTGTTGAATAATCCAGTTTGGGCACAGCACCTACATGAAGACCACTTCACAGACACAGAATAAAACTGAATGACCCTAGCACCAGGTATAACCAAGGAGGGTTCATGAAGGAGATCAAGGCTCCACGACAAGACAGAGTAGGAAACCAGTTGCTGCCGACTCACCTCGGTCGGCTGCTAGACACTGCCCGTCTCCCTCCGACTTCTCCCTGGGCTTCTGGCTGCGGTGCCGAAAGTGACAATAAGGCCGGTTGCAGGAGCCGCCATCGCCGCTACCGCCGCCGTAAAACGGGCACTCGATGCTGCGGAAAAACTCGGTGGAACGCAGCATTGTGCACTCGGGTCCCGGCCTCGGGGACAAGGCATAATCCCCGTCCCCGCAGAGAATAATGGTTTGGTGGAGGCGGGGAGGGCAGGTGAAATTGGAATCAGAAGTTGGAGCGGCCTTCAAGCTCCGGGAGATCCTCTCCTCTCACCCACTCAACACCGCCCGCCGCCATCTTGGTTCCTGCCAGGCTCTGACGTCAGAGGCCTACCCAACAACAAGGGCATTTCGGAGCCGTCGAAAGGGAAGAAATATAAGAACAAAAATCATACTAATATAGCACGTCTCACCACCCCAGAGGGGTTCCTCGGGGCCCTCTACGACAGTGAAATACTTTTAAAGTCCCTGTTTGGGAGCACGGCAGCCAGTTTGCGCACAGCAAGCTCCCACAAGCTTCATGACCAGCTGCCAGAACAGAAAATGCTGGAGAAACTCAGTTGGTCTGACAGCACCCGTGGAGAGAGAAACGGACTTAACCCTTTGGGTTGGCGACCTCACGACCAGATAATCTGTTCCTTCCCTGCGATGTTATTTGGAGGACATGCATAGGCTTCTTTTCACACATTCGTGCCACATGGGCATCACTGGATATGCTGGCATTTATTGCCGGACCCTAGTTACTCTTGAGGAGTTGGATCTGCAGTCCTTGTGCTGAAGGTAGACTCACAACGCTGTTAGGGAGGAAATGACAGGATTTTGAAAGTGAAGGAACACTGATATATTTCCAAGTCAGGATGGTGAGTGACTTGGGGGACAATTTGCAGATCATGGTGTTCTCATGTATTTGCTGCCCTTGCCCTTCTAGATGGAAATGGTCGTGGGTTCAGAAGGTGTTGTCTAAGGATCTTTGCTGAATTTCTGCTGTGCATTTTGTAGATAGTACGCACTGCTGTTACCGAATGTCAGTAGTAGATGTTTGAGAAATGTGAGAGTGGATGTTGTGCAATCAAGCAGGCTGCTTTGACCTGGATATTCATAGAGTAACACAGCACAGAACCAGACTGTTCAGTCCAATTCGTCCACGTCAACCAACATCCTAATCTGACTTAGTCTCATTTGCCAACATTTGGCCCATATCTCTCTAAACCCTTCCTGTTCATGTACCCATCCAGCTGCCTTATAAATGTAATTGTACCTGCCTCTGGTAGCTCATTCCATACACGCATCACCCTCTGCATGAAAAAATTAACCCCTCAGGTCCTTTTTAAGTCTTTCTGTTCTCACCTTAAACCCGTGCTGTCCAGTTTTCGACTCTTGGTTTGTGCCTTATGGATGGTGAACGGGCTTTGGGGAGTCAGGAGATGAGTTACTCACTGCACTAGCCTCTGACCTGTTCTTGTAGCCACTGTGTTTATATCGCAAGTCCAGTTTAGTTTCTGATCAATGGTAACCCCCTGGATGTTCATAGCAGGGGATTCAGTAATGGTAATGCCATTAAATGTCAAGAAGTGGTGTTTAGATTGGCCTTTATTGGAAATGGTCATTGCCTGATACTTATATCAGGGATAACACACAGGTCATCTTCAAAATCATACTGTGGACCTTTAAATGTCTAATTAAGATAGGCTTTGAAATGTAACAACCCATTGAAACAATGGCTGTCAACAGGGTAGCACACCCTTACAATTACAGTGGAGTGTCAACCTGGACTTCTGTGCTCAGCTCCTGAAGTGGGAATTGAACACACAACCTCTTCTGATTCCAAGCAAGTGTGCCTCCAATTGAACCATGGCAGACACAAAGAAAGACAACATCGTGTTGTGTACCATAGATTCATAGAGTCAAATAGTACAGAAACAGATCCTTTGGCCCATATCTCCACAAAGCTATCCTATTCATGTACCATCTTCAACATTTCTTTAATAAAATTATTTGTTCTATTTGTTCTCCGCGTTTGATATGATTGTTAATATCATGGAAGTATTTTCTTGAAAGCCTAATTCTGTTTCTCTTTCCACGGATATTACCTGACCTGCTAAGTACTTCCAGCATTTTTACACATGTTTATATTTCAGATTTCTGGTATCAGCAATACTTCTGCAAAAACATGAAGGAGGTTTTTAGGGGTGATGTGCTGTAGGGGTTCACAGTTACATAACAGTATACATACAACTAGACTGCATCATCGGTGATGTCAGATCACATGGGATGTGGCCTCTTAGAAGATTCTGATGCAGTGCAGTTCAGCCCAGCCCAATGATGCCAATGTATATAATGTATACAGTTAATAAACTTTTGTCAGTTTTCACAAGCATGCTGTCCAGTCCACATTTGTCTAAGCCTCCCAGAACCTGCATGTGATATTTGTGGTGCCAGTCTGCAAGCCCTTAAGAAGGGACCCCAGCTAACAGTGACAAAGGGTGGGAAAATGAAAAGCCTTTATCGCTAGAACACACTTGAAAACAGCACCTATAGTAATAGTCAGAAAAGTTCACCAGCTGCTGATAGGAATTGCACAAAACAAGGGAAAAATCCTTTTCCCAATTTCTTAGACAAAACAGAGGGCTTTAAACAAGTGCAGATTTTAGCTCCAGAAAGATGAGGAGGGTATTTTAAAGCATTATGCCGCAACAGAGAACTTGCAACTCCAATTCAAAAATTTAACTAAAGAATAGTCAGGTCAAACAGTGTCAAAGACATACATGATTTGCCTTTCCTGGTTGAGGTCACAAAATCCAAAGGACGACTTTTGGAGTTTGGACGTTATGGTCAATGGCTACTGGATAAATTTCAAATTAGATACTGGAGCAAGCATGTCAATATTTTCTAACTGAGTACAATAGCTAAAGCCTGAGTTCCTCCAGAAATCAACTTCACAGTACAGGGGTATTCAGCTGGAAGATATATGACAGAAATACTTTAATTCAGAATCAGGTGTGATCATTATTGAGCTGGACAACTTTCTTGGATATGCAACGTATCTGCATGGTGTTGGAGCTACAAGGGCAAATCAGAGAAATCCAATTTAGAGTTACCAACTCACAGGGTGGAATAGTGAGGCAGTATGGTAGTGGTCTTGAGAAACTGCAAAAGGCTTATCATGCATTAGGGCCAAATGTCAAACCAATATGTTTGCTTACACTAAGAAATATCCCACAATCCCTCTTGAAAGAGGTTAGACAAGAAATTGAAACCATGCTACACCAGGGATATTATTGTTGGTAACACAACCTACCCATTGACGCTTAGGCATGGTTCCTGTACCCAATCCTAAGGCTGTTTAAGTATCAGTGTGAATATCATACAGCTGAACAACACTGGAAAAGAAGATTACCCAATGGCATCTGTGGACAACACGTTGCCAAGCCAACAAGGAGCTCAGCTTTTACTCAGCTGGTGCCAATAGCAGCTTCTGGTGGTTACCATTAGAAGAGCAATCCAGATTATTGACAGCTCTTTGAGCATTATTGTTTCAGCCAGCTACCATTCAGAGTTGCCATGCTGCCTGAGATTTTTCATTGTACCTTAATCTTGTAAGGGCTCAAAGGGTCACAGATTGTGTGGACAATAACCTTATTCGTGAATCTAACACTTTGGACCACAATAGGGTCAGAGCAGTATTGCAGTGCTTGCAGGCCATAAACCTTACACATAATCATAAACGCAAGTTCTCTAATCCCGGTATCATCTTTTTAGGCTCTATTGGTCGTATATTTGATGCCAAGGCTGACCCTTGGAAGACCAGAGCCATTAAGGACTCCCATCCGCCCTTAACATTTCAGATCTTCATCATTTCATTGGTAGAAGCAACCTGTTGATGAAACTTCCAGCATGTTGCTAGCAGGTAGCTAGAGACAAATCTGCATGTTTTTGCACCTTATTAATAATAACTTGCTTGAATTAACTTTGCATCCTGAAATAACACAACTGAGGAGTTGTGTACCCAGAGAGTTGTACTTCTTCCTTGACTACAGGGTAAGTACTTGCTGCTTTGTCATTCTAGTGATACAGAATTAAATGGAGAGTAAACACCCCTGTGTTCCAAGACAACAAAAACAGAAATTGCTGTAGAAACTGAACAGATCAGGGACTGAACAGAAAGCCATTCTGATGAAGAGTCACCAGACTTGAAACGTTAACTCTGCTTCCTTCCCACAAATGCTGCCAGACCTACTGAGTTTCTGCAGCAATTTATGTTTGTGTTTCAAATCCTGCAGTTCTTTGTTGTATTTTATACTGTGTTCCAAGTACAGTCTCTGCCTCTCAGCAGAGAAAGACAACTTGTCTCCCTGGGCCTTTTTCAAGCCCACCTAGCATACAGAAATCAGGGGGCTACTTCTGGTTGAAGGGCTGATTTTAGCACACACAACAAAGGAAGGGGTGCCTATGACTGAAGGGCATGGAGCCACAAAAGCAATAAACAGGAAGTCACAGTATCTGCACAACATGGAACCGCAATCGTGGTGAAGGGGAGCTATGGATAAGGAAAGCAAAGGTGTGCTGCCGTCAGTTTGGGAGTGTACTGCAGCCAATCAGAGGGAAATGCAGTGTGTGTGTGTGTGTGTGTGTGTGGG